TGGCGATTTTGAAGGCTTTAGGTGATGGCTGTGGTGGTGGAGGGAACAATGAATTGGGTTATTTGTTTTCGCGGTTTTAATTTGGGGTTGGCGTATTTTTATTTTTATTTTTATTTTTCCTCCCTTAACTTGTCACCTCAGCACAATTCAAAATCCTGTAATGACCTGTGAGCCACCTCCCCTGTACTTATAGCATTTTCCTATTATCTATTGGTAAATCATTGCGTAAATTGTCATGTACATTTAGCACATCAGAATAAAAATGATGCTATTATTTTAGACTAATACAAAATTTAAAATAATAGGAATATTTTAAAATTACTTGGCATATTTGTATATTTATAAATACACACATTATGAACTCAAAACTACATCTTTATAAAAGAACATATTTTACAAAAATTACACCCCAGTAATTCAATCTTAATGCATAAATTATTAAAATAAAAATGGATAAAATCAGTTTCAACATCAACGTGGGATTATTACCAAAAGCTAAAGCTTTTGTTGTACAATCTAACAGCTCCGATAAATCAACCAAATAGAAATTTCTTCGAATAGCATAAACAAGAAACCAGAAGAAGGCGAACTATTTTGACTGTGATTCACCGGATGTGACAGTGATAGTTGGCTCGTCCTTTTTTGGGCTTGAAACGATCGTCTCTAAAGTTCCAGTGTTAACAAGCTCCAACGTCTTGTAGAACTCCTCAGGGAGGGGACCAGGTCGATGCAGGGGAATGTGCTTCGGGACTGGGGCATCATTCTCAATAACTTCACAATCATAGTCATCGGGAATGCCCCAGGGTTTCCACTCTGAACACAACTTAAACATATTTTTGTGCTATCAAAACTTGAGAATGAGAAGTAACAAATTATTCAAGATTAGGCAGATATAATTACAATACGACCATGAGACAGTTTCAGACAGAGAGAGGCTTAAGAACAAAAGTCTTGCCTTAATTAACTCATTTTCCTGCATATGACAGTAAATGCAAGAGGCACAAGAACAAAGATGACATAGACATTAATCAAGTCATTTAGTTGACAAACAACGGCAACACCAAAATCTAACTCCACTGAGCTTTATCGAGGTTTGTCCGAAGCATCAGATGCCACGTGTAATAACAAAGAATATTATGTGTAAAGTCGGGAGTTTTGAACAGTTAAAAAACAAGCTCCTACATAACTGATTCTTCAGCTTCAGTCACGCACCAGTCAATAGAACGTTACTTTCAGAAGGCAACTTCTCATAGCAATCAAAATTTGATCCAGAGGAAGCAGGTAGAGCATAAATCTATCAAAGAATATTATGTGTACAGTTGGGACTTGGGAGTTTTGAACTGGTAAAAAACCAACTCCTACATGGCTATAGTTCAACACTTCAACTTGATTCACGCCCCAGTTAACAAAACATAACTTTCAGAAGGCAACTTCTCACTGAAACTCAAAATTTGATCCAACGAAGCAGGCAGAGAATAAATTTATCAAAAAATATTATGCAAGTTCTCATTTTGTACTTAACAATATATCTGCATACTTTTGTCTGAAATTAATTGATTTTGACTTTTGCGCCTACCCAATCCTACTTCTTTTGATGGTCAATTGGTCATGCAAGAGGTACAAAAACAAAGATTACAAAGACATTAACTAGGTTGTTTACTACAATCTAACCCCATTGACTTTAAACTCAAGAGGAAAATTCCAATTACAGTGAAATGGTAAAACCAAATTTCAAGTAGTGAAAGTCGCTGAACAATTATTTGCACACTCAAGATTTGTTTAAAGCTTCAGATGACCACACGTAATATTTCTATCCTTGTGGAGTTTGGAACAGGTAAATCTAGTTCGATTTGCTTTGCATTCAATAGAACATCATTCACAAAAGGCAACCTCTCACAACAATTCAAAATTTGATCAGCTGTCGCAGGCAGAACATAGATTTATCAAAAAAATGTTATTCAAGTACCTATTTCGCACTTAAGTATATAACTATATACTTTTACCTGAAACTTAATTGATTTTCACTTTTAATTTTTGCAATTATTTTACTTCAAAATTATTTTTTATTTTTCGTTTCTTCCTCAAACTGTTGCCAATCGATTTGAAACATAAAATCTAAAAGAATTTGTTTTTGGTGTTGCTTAATACAGAGATTTGAAGTAATTCTACAACAAGAATTGGTTTTTGTATATTGCAAAATGCTTCGAGAGAACTTGAACATCAAGGCAAATTCATATTACTCTTGGTTGGATTAATTCCATTTATTTTTTCCTGTTTGAAATTATTTCTGATAAGTTAATCACATAGTATGATAGTTACATCAGAAAAACGAATTATTATTGTTATATAATATCTTATCAACAATTTGCAAATCCGAATTTCAATCCAAAAAGAAAAAATAATCCGAATTTGAATTATTCCCTCAAAACTTGCTCTCCGTTCATAACCTTCTCAATTTATCTTGTTATAAACAGTTAGATAAAAACGCATTTATCAGAAAAAATCACCCGATTTGATTGGGTTTAAACATACCGTTCATGTGTCCGACGAGCTTGAGCTCATCTTGCGCTTCTTCGATGAGTTCCTCGACCTGGCCGCAGCCTATGCGCTTCTCAATGACCTCCCAATCTTCTTCCTCCTGGCAAACCTTAAGCCGGTGACGCGTGAAGCTCTCTACGGCCTTCCTGTATCCCTCATCCTCAGGCACTACCTTGATCTCTTCTAGGGTTTTGGAATAGAGGCCAATAAGGACCTCTCGGGCGTTGGGCACTACATCGAGACCGACGATCCCGGTCGTCTCCTTCAATCTAGTCATCATCATCGCCGGCCGCACCACCCTCTGGAGAAACATTTTTCCTACACGGAAATGTACGTATCTCGGTCCAAACTCGCTTTAGACTCGGCTCGATAACTCGGTGACTCGCTTCAAGCTCAAGTAAGATCAGTAACGAGACTGCAAATTGCGAAACACCAGTGAGTGAGAAAGGTTGAGTTTATTATTTAGGGAATTTAGCGTTATTGGTCCCTAATCTTTTCCTATAGTGAAAAAAAGGTCCATAACGTTTGTTTCATAGCATTGACATGGCTGATCTATGCGTTTGGTGTGCAAATTGTCCTTTTTTGATGTAAACGATCGATAATGCTCTTAATTTTAATTAAGAAAAATTGTAATTGATTCGCTAAACTTTGCAAAAAGTGTAAACGGGTCACATGCCTTTATTTTTAGTTATTCAACAAAAAACAAAAGCAATGAGTCGGTTTTTTTTTATTAAATGATTGGCCGAATTGATAACACGTGTAAATTATCTTCTTCTTGTTTATGAACTAATAGTTTGAAATAACTTCAATTTAACCTAATAATTAATTAACTAATGTATTAAGAAAAGTACTGTTTTTACGATTTTTATTTATCTTTGATTAAAAATAAAGAACACGTGTAAATTAATTTTGAATCTATATTTGTACGTTAAATAAAAACACAATAAGATGGATTTAATGTCATGAAATTATATACCTTGTTTTTGTTATTTATTTATTTTTATTTTTATTCATGTTTTTCACGTTACAAAGCAAATACATACACTTAAAGCACGACAATCTTGTTGGAAAAAAATAAGGTGATGGATGACTTTGGCATAAATTTTGAGTGGGATCTGTTTGTTTAATTTGGAAGATCAACATTGATTTGTATTCTCTGTCTCGAGAACATCGAAATCATGTATTTACTTGTCAGAAATGAAATGGAAGATCAACATTGATTTGTATTATCCTCCGTGAAAACATCAAAATCATGTATTTACTTGCCAAAAATGAAATTCGGGTGAACGAGAAATTGGAGTTTAAAGTGGGTTATTGGAATATGGTTTATGTTGGATGGAAAACTAAATTTGAGTTTATCCCACATAGGAAGTTGATGAAAGCAATAATCACTTTATATATGGCTACATTTTGCAAGTGTGTAATCATGTGTAACATAGAGATTCTCTCCACGTACGCACGCATGGGGGGTGCAAATCACTGATCGAAATAGACTTCAGACCTTGAACTTGTGTACGGGCGAGACCTATATTATAGTTTCAAAACACACGAAATTGTCCTCTGTTTGCATACCTATTTTACTGTTTGTCAAGGTTTTGGTAGTGATATTGTTAAGATACTAATTCAGTTCGTCGAAGTAGAATTCGTAGCGTTTGGACTCTATTGGTTTACCGTTGCATCGTGGGAAACGGACGCTTAAGTGAAATCTAAAGTACATACGGCAAGAGAGCGAATTTGTTTTACTAAAATTGTGTTCACACAAGCCTCGAATTTTAAAGTCCAACTGAATTATTTATTCTCTGTTTAGATTATTTGTTCACAAATTATTTTTTATAACAAATCTTACTTTTTTTCTTATGAAAAATTTGATTGACACCACTATAGTTCAGAATTTAATACTCTTAGGAGGACCAATTGTGCACTAAATATAAAGATCAACATTGATTTGTATTCTCCTCCGTGAGAATATCAAAATCATGTATTTACTTGCCAAAAAAGAAATCCGGATGAACGAGAAATTGGAGTTTAAAGTGAGCTATTGGAATATGGTTTATGTTGGATGGAAAACTAAATTTGAGTTTATCCCACATAGGAAGTTGATGAAAGTAAGAATCACTTTATATATGGCTACATTTTGCAAGTGTGTAATCATGTGTAGCATAAAGGCTCTCTCCACGTACGCACGCATGGAGGTGCAAATCACGGATCGAAATAGGTTTCAGACCTTGAACTTGTGTACGGGCGCGACCTACATTATGGTTCCAAAACACACGAAATTGTCCTCTGTCTGCATACCTATTTTACTGTTTGTTAAGGTCTTGGTGGTGATATTGTTAAGATACTAAGTTAGTTCGTCGAAGTAGAATTTGTAGTGTTCGGACTCTATTGGTTTACCGTTGCATTTTGGGAAACAGACGCTTAAGTGAAATCTAAAGTACATACGGTGAGAGAGTGAATTTGTTTTACGAAAATTTTGTTCACACAGGCCTCGAATTTTAAAGTCCAACTGAATTATTTATTCTCTGTTTAGATTATTTGTTCTCAAATTATTTTTTATAACAAATCTTACTTTTTTTCTTATGAAAAATTTGATTGACACCACTATAGTTCAGTATTTAGGGCTTGTTTGGTACAGATTTTCGTTTTCTACAGTAAATCAATTCTCATTTTCAACCACACATTCTTCAATAAAATAATATTTTACATCACATCAATACTTTTTCCTTCTTTTTCAACCGCACATTTCCTATCATATCACTATTCAAAAATCAATTCTTCCCCCAAAAATCCCTACCAAACACACTCTTAATACTCTTACGAGGACCAATTGTGCACTAAATATATAGGTTAGGAATGTCTATGTCCAGAAACAAACGTTAGTGAAGACTTGCTCACTAAAGGCAAAGGATAGGGATCATTAGCGCTAAATCCCGTAGAGTTTGGGTTAAAATGTGTTGTTAAGGTGGGATAAAGCGCTAGATTGTGTTATGGTCAAAGTTGGGTTGTTGAGGCTTGGGCTTTGTCCAGTATTCTATTTACAGTTGGGCCATAGTCTATGTAAACTTATGATATGCTGCATATGCAAGTAGATTAGTAGGCATATATAATGGACTAATCTTTGAGAAATAGTGATTAATCCTTGGGAAAGTTTGACAAATAAAAATAAAAAATCTCCCTCAATATTCTACCCCGTCTTTTTTTAATACCATATTACTGTTTTCCTCATTTTTTTTACACTCCATGAAACACGATATGTTACACGCATTCCACCATATTCGTTTAACTATGACACTTTTAATATATTGTGTTATAATGTGTTAATTTAATGGTAAAGAGGCGGGTATGGGACGGATCGATCATTCCCACCCTATACAGTCAAGTATTTTTGTTACCTTACCTCATCCTCCTACCCTGTTAAAACGGGATAAGAAGAGCTCGGGATGGGGCCCATTTATCGGCCCATTTATTTATTTTATGTTTTGCTTTTATTTTTTTATGTCTTTAACTAGTAAATATTATTACTTTTTTCCAATTTGTTAGAACAACTTATGTTCTCTTTAAAAATGATAATTAATCTTTTATTTTTGTTTAATAAAAAACTTAAATTTAAAAAATTAACTTTAAACATGTGCCAGTAGTCGAGCGGATACTATGTTTTTCATACCCTTCCCGTACCTACTTCGGGGCAATGACCCACACCCCGTCCCCACCCCATTTACCTGGTTAGGCGGGTAACCCCCGTTTCATTCGGGGCAAGACCCCATGAGTATCGGGTTGAACGGATCTTTTTGTCATTCCTAAATTGTTATACACATTCTACCATTTGCTTCTAGCGCCGTCAATACTTATAACAAATTGTGTTACACTTTCGTAACATTCAATCTTACTCGTCATCATCACCACTTGTAGTGTAGTATGTTACATTGCCGTCTCCATGACTTGTAGTATACAGATCCACACACGCATTAGGCTAAGGAATAAAGGGGTTTCTTCTCCCCAATTCACGATCACAATAGCAGATTCAAGGAGTACGATGGATTTAATGGAGGTAGTAATGGTCTTGTGGATTTTTATGGAGGCCACTAAGGTGATGGTCATGGGCGGATGGAGGGTGGGCTGGATCGGGCTGTAGCCCATATACATTTTTAAGATTATTTTTTGAGAAAATTACAGGAATATCTTCTTTTCAAGATTCAAGTTCAAAAATCAGATATCAAGTTTTAATTTTCAAAAATCAGATATTTTATATATGGATACTTGTTTTTTATATTTAATTAAATATTAATAATAATATTAAGAAAATTAATACCCTCCCTAAATTAATTTTCAACCCTAAATTCACGTTCCTCTCTCTCACTCATTCCCAAACCCATTGATCCCCAACCCAGTCATTGCAACACCACCCAGCTCCGATTGTTGAGGTCACAACGACAAATCACTAAGGTACTAACTCCGATTCCATTTTCCATCAGACGACCCGACTTGCCCTTGCTTCGATTCAGGCTCATCGACTACGTCTACCTAGCTTTTTTATTGTAAAGGCTTCAATTCTGCGTCAATTTTGTGCACTAGAACTTCGCATCTTCGCCTACACAGACTGCTACAGATCTGTAGGTGGTCATTGTGTTTGTGGATTTGAGGTGGCGTGAAGATGGCGGCCACGCCAGATTTGGCTAATTTTTGTTTGTTGTTAAGGGTTTCCATGGTGTGATGATGTTTGGGTGGTTTTGTGGATCTAATAATTTCTATGGTGGTGGCGGCGATATTGTTGGTGTTGAAGATTGTCGTGGTTTTTGGTTTGCTGTCGATTGATGAGGCTGTGTTGGCGACGTTAGTGATGGTAGTTGTGGTGAGTTGCCGGTTGTGGTAGCAGCGGCAAAGTAGGGTTAGGGCATGTAAGATGGTGGTGGTGGTGGTGGTGGTAAGGTAGTGTTGTATAGTCTATATGACCAATGCTGTGACCCGAGCTATGTGCTGTGACCTGAGCCATGTGCAAAATATTCTATGACCTATGTTGTCACTATCAACAAAAACATGAGCCATGCGCAAAAATATTTTGTGACATGTGCTGTGGCCATTTGAAATAAACCCGTGACTATCAACAAAAACCTGAACCATGTGCAAAAATATTGTGTGACATGTTCTGTGGCCATTTAAAATAACATGGGACTATGAACAAAATCGTGAGTCACGTGCAATGTATTTTGTGACCTGTGCTGTGACTATTCGAAAATAACCCGTGATTATTAACAAAAATGTGAGACATGAGCGTTATCATGTTATCAATCATTATAAACAAACAACCATGTATTGTGACTTGTGACCTGAGCTGTGACTTGTGACCTGGACTATGACCATACAACCGGTAAGTTGTGACCATCAAATGCGGACAATGTGCTAATTGTTGTCACAACCATGCAAAAAAAATCATGTCAACCAAAAAAATATGGCGAAATTGTCATCGGAATATTCGTCGGAGTTGGAACAATTTTCGAAATCGGAGCAGTCGCCAAAACGGTCACCAGAATTGGAGCGGTAGGGGTGGTGGAGGTGGGAGTGGGTTAATTATATTATATATATACAAATATTTATATATATGTGCATGTATAGGTCAAAATATTTTATTTTTGAAATGTGAAAGTTGTTTTCTTATTTTTGAAATAGGGTATAGTAAAAGTAGGAGAAATGAAATTTTCCCTTTTTTTTGTTTTTTTCAATTCTTCTTTTTAAATGGTTTTCTTCTATTTTATTGGTTGATTATAGAGTTGTGAATGGCTAATAATGTACTTAATTTTTAAGTGTTAAGTTGAATACTATAGAAAATTCATCGTATTTATATGGTTGCACAATCAAACTAATAAGAAAATATCATTAAAAAGTGATAAAATGTCGTGAATAATATTTTGATAATCGTTTATATAGTCATCAAGGGTAAAAAATATTGACATAGTTATGAAAATGCAAAAGATGACTGTAAAGAAAAATGTAAAAGTCTTGGTTTTCATTGAAGGGTTGTGATTGACTTAAAAAATGATTGTCTTTTTTTTTTTTTTTTTTTTGAATCTATTTGATTAATTTCACATAATAATAGTAAGAAAAAATAGGGAATTTGTAAAATTTTAAACATTTTTCATTCAATTTTATGATATTATTTGTGGCTTGATTTTATATTTATAATGTTACTACTTGCTTAATCAATTGCATTTTTATTCCGCATTTAACATTTTAAAGCCTTCGTTTTATAATATTTAGATTCATACTCCTCAATTTTATTCTACTATACAACTAGTAAGTAATTCGTTTACCACCACGTCACTAATTTTTTTTTTATTTGCTAATTACTGTTGATAATAATTAATGCAAAATAAAATTATTAAATTATTTTTGCCTTGCTATCTTCTTTATATATAAAATTACTATATTGATCAATCCTCCCTAACATAAATCTTGGATCCGTGATGATTGGCGGTAGCGGTGAGTGTGGAGCAAGGGTCATAGGGTGGTGAAAGGTAGAGATAGGGGTGGTCAGGTAGGATGGTGGTGGTGATCGACGTTGGTGATGGGATGGACCGTGGCGGCTAATGGATTTTGGTTAAAATTAATTATTGATTTTGACTTGAATTTTAATTAAGTATTTAAGCTGCACCAAATATGGACATAACTTAAACTAATCAAACATACTTTCTATCCATATATTTTATAGGACTCATATCTTACTACTAACTTTATATTCACGCCTTACATATTACTCATAACTTGTAAGTATTTTATATCACTACTGAACAAGCACGTAGTAACTAGAGCACGTTTTGTTTAGATATTAGGTATTATTATAGCTTTATAAAGGTCGTAACCAGATGTATAAAGTGAGATGTATCAATGTATATAAATAAATAATAATTCTACTTGTACATACGGGATTGACACTCTGGATGACACCCCCTTACATAGGGGTTCACGTCAAATAAAAAAACCGCGACCCCCTATACGAGGAGGTATCAACTCCGAATGTACAAGTAAAACTATTTATAAATAAAAATTGGCTACTATGTGCTCAGAGACGGAGATGTGGGGGGAGGGGGAGCGATCGTCCCCCAACATTGTCCGCTGGTCCACTATTACTAGTTAATTTGTAATGTATTTTTCAATTTCGCCCCGCAAAAATTTTGACTCGTTCTCGCAAAATTTTGAAATTTTTTTTCCATTAATAAATTTTGACCAAATAACTTACACTTTAAAATTCAATAAAAGCCCAAATTCAATCCAAAACCATACAAAAATCATACTTAAATATTGACCAAATAGCCATATAAAAATCTTAGACCTAAACAAAAGATCCAATAGTTACTTATATAAATAAATAGCCCATATCCAATTCAAAAGCAAACGACTCATTTATGAATCAATTATCCAAAAGCATACCCACATGCCACAGCCCAAAAAATGTCCATCTAATGTTCATGTTTTCAATAAACTTGCCTATTTTGGTACTCAAATCGTCGTTTTCAATCCTCTTAGTTAAAAAAATTTTCGAGGGCGGACACCGCAAGATTGAAATCCTGGTTATGTCTCTGTATGTGCTAGATGTGTCAACAAGCCTAAGTAGATCCCTTGGCTATATCTATAAATTAATAGAGTGGTAAATATACACATAATCCATAAAAGATAATACGAGGCTTGTTGAAATTGCCACTGTAAACCCAATTGGACGATAAAAACGACGTGGTTTGGCCAATTTCAGGAATTCACTTTTCATGCCATTCTGGTTTTTTCCCCAATTACCGCATAACAATTATCCGAAGAGCTCCAAGTTTGGTCAAATGACTCAGTTAGTAAAGGCAGGTGGCAGCTGCGTTTGGTAGGGTATCGGGTGAAGGTTACTGCAGTAAGCTGGTAGATTTTGGAAACAGTGATTGGTCGGTTTGGAAAATTGGTGGCTTGGAATTCAGGTCCAAATTTGTCAACGAGATTAAATGAAAATTTTAAACCATTAATTTTAACCACTTAGTAGTAAAAAACATGTGAATCCTACGATGTGTTGAATAAGAAGTGTGTTCAAAGCTTAAATCATAAAATATATAAATTAATTTTCCAATGGTACCTGGATGGAATGTATCCACGAAAATAGCTCGAAATACCACTATAACAAAGTTCTGATCTAATAAGTAATTAAAAACTACTAAATCCCATAATTAGTTCTAGAAATTATAGCAAAATAAATGCAAAAGAGCAATGGTGTTGGACAGGGAACGTTAACATATGTTTTCATCCCATATGAAATGGGAGGGTTCGGACAAGTCCAAATGTCCCCGACTTTTCTTGTCACTCAATCACCGCTACCGCCGCTGCCACTGCTGTTGCCGCTGGCATTGAAGGTTGAGGTGGAGCTGGTGGAAGTCCAGGGCTGTGTTTGCAAATCACTTGAGTGAGCAGATCCATTATTAATCACGCCTAGCTCTCGAAACCCTCTGAATATTTCTTCTGACATTGAAACATTTGGAATCAAGATATCATCATCTTCATCTTCATATTCAACTTCAACATGCTCCTCCAGGACCTCCACCATCTCGACATCTTCATCTTCGTCTTCATATTCAACTTCAACATGCTCCTCCACCATCTCGATATATTCATTTTGCGCGGGGTTTTGGCCTTCCACGAGTGGTGTATTTGGAGAAAAGCTGGAGCTGGAAGCCGGTGATGAAGATGAAGAGTTTGGAAGACCTATAGGAATATTTGTGTTAGTGCTTGGCTCGCTGGAGGTGGTGGCCGGAGAAATCAACCTGGTCCGAGTGCTTCTGGAGAAAGAGTTCCGTTGGTTCGGCCGAGGATGGGTATGTTCACCAAAGTCGGACACCACAAAAAGGTCCGGATCTGTAGGGTTTATCTCCACATGTTTCCTTGCAGCGCAGCCTTTTGAGGTGCTGCATCTATAGTAGTTTCTGTTGAATCCAACCAAAACAAGTATACAATTAATTAACTATTCTTGATTACTTTATTTAATTATCCGACAAGGATATGATTTCCGTACACGGTATTAGACATGATTTGATATGAGTATTAACCGTATAAACCGTTAATAATTACTTGTTTTAATTATCTGACAATACTTACCCGGAAATGTTTCCGTACACAGTACGAGGCATGATTCGAATACGGATATTAACCATAAAGCGAATAGTAGAATGAATAAGATTAAAATGTAAAACGACAAAACCTTGGATACGGGGATCCCTTGATAGGCTTTCGGCCGTATTTTCGCCATGCCCATGAATCAGCATAGATTTCCTCTGGTGTCATTATTCGAACCGCCATTTTCTGCTGATTTCTCCTGTACAAAACAAGTGAATTTTATCTTCATCTTTAGATACATAGATGTTATGTTTGTGTTGCTTTTTGTTTGGAGATACATGGAATGCAAGATAATGATACCTTTTACGGGGTCGACTGGGCTGAGATTTCGTCTTTCGAATTCTGGGAGAAGAACGAATTATAGGATTCTCCGCCGGCATCTGTAAATTTCCGTGCTGTTGTTGCATTTGATAAATTCCTTGTTGTAACTGAATCTGCTGTTGGTTTTGGAACACTTGACCAACAGGAAAGGGTTTTGTTGTGGTGACGGTCATTCCCGAGGCAGCAGCAGCCAGGGACATATCGATGCTGAATTCTTTGCAGAATTCTTCTAAGCCCTCGAAAGCTCCATCTGGTCTGTCTTCCTTAAGGCTAGGAAAAACAAAAGAAGTATCATCATCTAAGAAGGTGGACATAGAGCCAGAACTAAGAAAAGGGCCTTCTGCAGGTGACATGCTAATGTTGTTATCCGGAGTGGTGGTGGTGGAGGCAGCAGCGGTGCAGCTTTTCACCACCGCAAATAGATCCCAGTCATTGTCCATAGAAAAGTCTGCTCAAGTAACTCAATTTAGTGTTCTTGCTTAACACTAAACGTTCCAATCCCTACTGTTCTTTTATATTGTAGAAGGCTATATATAGAGAGAAGAAGAGTCTTTATTTTTATAGTGAGAAAGAGGAGAGAGAATTTTTTGTTTTGGTGATATTTTTCAGGTGAAAAATAAGTCATCCTTTAACATTGACTTTGTACAAATGTCAACTCATAATAGGGCAATATTGAGCTTCCACCAATGACCAATGGCTCCTCATCTCATATTTATTAATTTTGGCATTTTTTCACCTAATCATAATATTTTTTTTTTTTTTTGAAGATTGTCTTACCGTATCCTTGTGTAAAAACTTGAGCATAATTCCAAGTTTAATTAATACTTTCGACTAATGAGTTAGAGTGCTTTAAGAAGTTGTTAGAGTGCTCAACGATAATGAGTTGGGATGGTATTTAATGAGATTAGTTACATTGATTTTGTGGCAACTTATCATTAATCACTTTGACGAAATTTATAATTTAGGCAATAAGATTTTGTTAATTTTATCTAACACCATCAGTACATTAATCTACGTGGCATTATATGATATACTTAATTAAAGTTATAATTATGTAACTCATTGGATTGGACCTTTCAATATTTTGTCATTTAATATCACCTTAATTGATTTGTAACCCCAGATATAGATAACGTTACTCATAAAATTTGGTTGGGTCCAGTTTTCGATATCTGTTGTTGCATTATTAAGTGTCAGTTTGGTAGTGTTTTTAAATGCGTATAAATTGTAGGTCCTATGAAATGTGTGAATAGGAAATTGTGAGTCAGAGTAATATATAGATAAAAATATGTTTAACCAATTTAAATTATGGTTTAAGCCTGCTAGTTTTTGAATTGTAAATGACATCACATTTCCCCTAAATTTTACCTTATTCTCTTACTAATACACACTTGACGTGTGTGTGCCACATAGGGCGACTGCTGCAGTGAGCGACTATGAATAACATTATTCTTTATTTTTACCTTTTGTAATACCAATTAATGTTGTTTTTACTTTTTAATTACTGCATTTTCTTTCAAGGAACTTGTTATATGTACATCACGATTTACACAAGGGATTGCACTATGTCACGTGGTATTCTACTATTTGTCAATTTAAAACATGATCAACTTTTTTATCCAATATTTTATCTCCATATCATTTTCAGTAACCGCTTATATATCATTTTGATGTACATGTAGCAAAATTCTTCATACGATAATTTGTGGATAACTTTTTTCAGTTATAGCGAAAGACGCAGCTTTAATTTGAACCCTTAATTATATATTAAAAAAGACTTGATTTTAATTAATTAAAGGCATGATTGGAACAATGTCCAAAGGTTCACGTTGTCTGCAGGGGAGGATTTGCCTAATAGGGATGTTAACGAATCGAGGTGAGCCGACACACGAGCTGAAATTTGAGGCTCGGGCTCCTGCATGTTTTTCTTTTTAACGAGCCGGGCCTACTCGAGAGCATCTAGGAAAGGCCCCATCTCGTCAAACCCCATACAAGGTGAAAAAACTTATGATCTGCCTAAACATTGTTTTTCGGATTGTTGTTCGATCCTCATTTGAGAAGAAAACCAATAGAATCTGCTCGTAGATTATGCTAGCAAAGCACTCCATGATATAGAGACCAAGTATGTAAGGTCCCAAAATTATTTTGCTTATTTTGATTGGTTTAGCCCATTTAAGAGAGCCTTAGAGGCTTTATTCACATAAACAAAGCTGCAAAATACATAGATTGATTAAAAGTCTAAAGTCTTCACCATTTAAATTTAAATTTATTTTAATTCAAGAAATTTATGAATAACTGGGTTGAATAGATGCGGTTTTCAAAGATTACAACCCACGTTCGAGTCATTATACAGATGTTTTTATAAAAAAAATTATAAAAATTATTTTTGGAGTAAAATAACTTTCGTTTTTTTTTATTCCATCACTCCTCAAATCTGAATTTCACTTTTCATTTCTTCTAATTTGTGTTAGTTTTAGCCTATTTGCAAGAAGAAAAAAAATATGAATTTTGTTACTATAAGTTTGGCAAGTCAAGAACAAATAATTTTTCATTTACATATCGAGAATCAAGGTAGGTGGTACAAATAAATTTTTCCTATGAATGTCTATGTATATTTTATGTATATAAATGTAACTAAAAGTTATTAGCTGTAAATGTGAAAGTCTTATGGTCATAATCGGTTTCTATAGAGATGGCAAACGGGGTCGAGCGGCTCGTTGGCTCGGCCACTCGGCTCGTGAAAACACAAGCCGCTAACTCGAGCTGAGCCGCAAGTGAGCTCGACGAGCCGAGCAAGTGTGCTCGTGAAAAATTAAAGAAAAATTTTAAAAAAAATGTGAAAAAAAATTCAAAAAGCTCGTGGGCTTGCGGCTCGGCTTGTGAGCTCATGAGCTCGGCCCGGCCCGGCCTGGCCCATTGTCATGACTAGGTTTCTACGGTCCCAAGGAATTCATCGAAATTCTCGATTCTTTGAAATCAAGAATTTGATCGACAATCCAAGTACATGAAAATATCTATGGTATGAAACTTTTATGTTTTGTATGTGAATATGCATATTCGTTCAAAGGAGATTGCACCTATGAAATTATATAGGGTTTTATACTCATTCCTGTTCTATGAAAAATTTCTGATTGAGAGAGGATTGTAGATGGACGGAGATTGCATGGATTATGGCGAAATCAAGGGGATGGAGCTCCTATGTGTAGGATTTACTTTTATGTCTAGGGGATGGAAATCAAATAAAATTATAAAGCTCCTATGCGTAGGATTTACTTTTATGTCATCGTACAATTCTATAAATTGATGTTTATTAAATTATGTTAGTATGGTATGTTAACATAATTTTTTTGTATGAAAATGTGATTGGATGTGTAGATTTGGACATGTAAAATGATGATGATGATGATAACTTTCTATTTGATTCTCAAACTGTCACCTTGAAATGTATTCTATGAAATTTTGGACGAGACCAGTGGCAGTGGGGTTTGAAAGCCCAGCGAGTCATCAATCCGTTGTCTTTGGAATCAAGTCATTTAAAGATTGGTAGGAGAAGTGATGTAATTTTTCTTGTGTTAAATATACTCGGGAACAAGATTTTGAGTGTGATTGAGTGCTCAATTGCATGCCTAAACGATGTTAGAAAATTTTGAGTTTTTACTATGTTTTACTTGAATGAGTTTAGAAAATAAAATAAAAATTTTATAAATATGCGAACCCAAAAAATGGTCCAACGGAGCTTGATATTTTAAACAAACGTGGTTTTTCCTCTCCCCTTCTCAGATGCACAGGGGGGAAGAAGCGAACTATATCCTCAGAGAAGTACACGAAGGTGTTTGTGGGAATCACTCCGGTGGTCCGGCTTTGTCCTAAGATACTAAGGCAAGGAGATTACTGGCCAACTCTGAAAAGGGACGCCATGGAATTTGTACACAAGTGTGAGAAGTGTCAGCGCTTCTTCAATATGCAGAGGCAACCGTCTCAAGAACTCACCATTGTAACTAGCCCGTGGCCCTTTGCCAAGTGGGGAGTGGATTTTATTGGCCGCTTGCCAAAGGGAAGAGCGAGTGCACGCTTCGCCATAGTCGTTATTGACTACTTCACCAAATGGGTAGAAGTAGAGCCTCTAGCCAAAATCACGGAGGCCAACACCTCCAAGTTTCTTTGGAAGAATATCATATGCGGGTTCGGTATTCCTCACTCCTTGGTCTTTGATAATGGCAAACAGTTTGATAACAAGAAGATCCGGGATCTATGTGACGAACTAGGGATCATAAAACATTTTTCCTCACCTCACCATCCCCAGGCAAATGGCCAAGTCGAGGCGGTCAACAAGACCATTAAGTTCACCCTGAAAAGGAAGCTGGGTGGACGAACTCCCCTAGGTCCTATGGGCTATCAGAACCACCTGCAAAACAGCCATCGGGGAAACACCATTTTCCATGGCCTATGGAGCTGAGGCGATGAGCCCCGTAGAGGTTGGTGTTCCGTCTCCCCGACGTCTCCACTTCAACGCAGTAACAAACGATAATCTGAGGAGGCTTGAGCTAGATTTCCTAGAAGAGCAGACGGATGAATCCCGGTTAGGCTCGCCTCTTACCAACTAAAGATGATGCGTTACTAAATGCCAAAGTGAAGAAGAGAGTATATCGCATTGGCGACCAGGTGCTCCACAAAGTCTTCTCATTGACCAAAGATTCTGGCACGAGGACTCTAGGGCCATATCGTGTCACTGCAGAGGTCAGGTCTGGAACTTATAGAATTGAAGATCTGAATGGAAAAATGATGCCTCACCCCTGGAATATCGAACATTTGAGGAAGTATTATCAGTAGGAAATATGTACTGTTGTGAATGTTGCAATCAAATAAATGTTTTGTTCACTTCGCTCTTACATCGACACATCAAACGAACTAGCGAAGTGCAAGCCCATCCAATGGGTACACCCCCAAGGAACTCTACCCAGTCAGAGGTGGTGCGGGTGCCACCCTTGACAAAGCAGCACGCGCACGTCAAACAAACTTGGCGAAGTGCAAGCGCATTCAAAGGGTACACCTCCAAGGAACTCTGCTCAGTCAGAAGTGGTGCGGGTGCCACCCTTGACGAAGCAGTATGCGCACATCAGACAAATGACGAGATGCAAGCCCATCCAAAGGGTACACCCCCAAGGAACTCTACCCAGTCAGAGGTGGTGCGGGTGCCACCCTTAACGAAGCAGCAAGCGCACATCAAACGAATGGTTATGTACAAACCCATCCAAATGGTACACCCCTAAAGAGTTCTGCCGAGTCAGAGGTGGTGCAGGTGCTACCCTTGACGAAGCAGTAGGCCCACATTAAACAAACTTGGCGGGGTGCAAGCCTGTCCGAGTACATCCAAGTTTATTTGGTTAAGTAAGGCCAATGCGACATTACTTGTTCATTGGCTGCTTCAAGTTTATTTGGT